AGAAGGAATGGATGCCAAACAGAGGATGGTCATCATCGTTGGGCCGCCAGAGGCTCAGTTTAAGGTGTTGTACCTTTTCACAGTCATATAAACACATAAAACACGGTTGGTAGAAATAAAAGAGGCACATGGTCAAATTTAATGGTAACCGCTGTTGGGTAGCTCTTGGATTTATTTTGCAGTTCTTTTTTATTTATGTTGATGATTCTTTACTGCCAGTACAGAAATGTTTTTCTTAGTTTCTTAGTCTTTTTTTTTTTTTCTCCTGGAAAAAATGTCCCGTTTCTGAAGTGCAGCATGAGTAATCTGTTCTCCATCTTGTCCGGCTGCAGGCTCAGTGTCGCATCTTTGGCAAACTAAAGGAAGAGAATTTCTTCGGACCCAAGGAAGAGGTGAAGTTGGAGGCTCACATCAAGGTTCCCTCCTTTGCTGCTGGACGAGTCATTGGGAAGGGTGGAAAAACGGTAAACTGATTCATTAATCATTACGCTAGCTGAAGAAACCAAACATAGAATACTTTAACTTTCACTTACATTTAAGTTTGTTCCAACAAATTAAAAACAAAGCTTTAAAGAGTGGTGTTCTTATCCAAACTCTCTACGTTGTTTCATTGTGTTCTCTTTGTTGTGGCTGCAGGTAAATGAACTGCAGAACCTGACCTGTGCAGAAGTGGTGGTGCCCAGGGACCAGACGCCTGATGAGAACGACCAGGTTATAGTGAAGATCAGCGGACACTTCTTTGCATGCCAGGTGGGTTTATATAAAGGAAATAAAGATGTACTGTACCTCAGGAAGATAAAAGCCCTCTGAGGAATCCTTCGTCTCTGTGGAACTGAATAAAGGTCATTTTGCTGTAAGGTACTTGCCACCTGGTCTCGCTGTTAGAAATGGCTAAAAGGCAGAGCTTATGCAGAGTGAGCCGTAAACCAATATTTACCCAAGACCTTCATGATGGCCAACATTTAAGAGTGTCAGCTGTTATACTGGACAGTGCTGAGAAGAGCATGGACTGACCATAAGGCATCACTTCAGGATGTCATGGGATTCCTTAATTTGATTACTTTGTGCTGTGATCTGATCAATTCATTTTCTCATGTCATCCAGCTGGCCCAGAGGAAGATTCAGGAGATCCTGGCCCAGGTGAGGAGGCAGCAGCAGCCCAAGCCCACATCTGGAGCCCAACCTCCACTGCCCCGCAGGAAGTAAAGATCCAGCGGACCTGGAGGAATGGTGACCGAATCTGCCAGAAGACTCGACAGATGGGCCGATGCAGCAGAGTCCGTGGGGAGAACAAGACAAGGGGTTGTAATGCTCATCTCAGGGGTCAAAGGTTATCAGAACCCAACCAAACATCTACCCCTCCTTGTCTTACTTGATTAGCTTTCAAGTGTGGCTAATAAAGAGACCCTACGCCTCTAAACCTCCACCCACCTCACCTCTCTGCATCTCTGTGAGAATGTACTTCTGAGGGCTCCCAACGTCGTCACCTGCCCTCACATGTACACACCCCTCGACCGCTCTCCTCCTCCCCACCACGGGTGTGTTAGATTTTTTATTTTTTTTTTGGTCCTCTTTTTACACTAGAAACACAAAGAAGAAATAAGGATCCCCCTCCTATCACCTCCTTGGTGTGGTACTTCAAACCTGACAAAATGTTTTGGTTGACTTCAGATTTAGTTGAAACTTTTTTTTTTTCTTTTTTTTTAGTGTTTAATTGGTTGACTAAGCTTTCTCATGAGTTTTCTGTGGAAAGGAAAAGGCATTGCTATCAAGGTCCTGGTTGGACCAACAGAGAGGTTTATTTTGGGGGAGGGTTGGCTCAGATTGGGTGGGCCATGTTTAGGGGAAAGATTCTTGTTTCAGGACAGGACCCCTGAAAGGGTGGATTATATTGGGTGTCCTGCCCTTGTAATGATAGTGGCATTTTATAAATTTGGATGCATTTTATAGATAGACCTATATACATAGATGAATATATATTTAGAGGTGAGGGCAGCGCCATGACTGACACTTAGGGAAATGGTGCCGAACTGCTGCTGCCCAGGAAAACCAATTTAATATGCATTTTACTTAACTACCTCAGGATCTAGTACCTCAGAAGAGAAAAGAAAATGATTATATATATATATGAAAAAATGTTCCTTTCTTTTTTTATTTTGCTTTTGTGGTATTTTGTATACTTTATAAAGCTGATAGTCTTTGAACATTTTTATTTTTTTAAGAAAATTTAAAATTTGGTCAGCTGCCAACTGACCTTGCCTTCAACTCTGGTGCTTTAGGTGGCATTGTTCATGTGTATGTGTGACTTAAGATGACCCTGTACATAAAGTCTATTTGTACATAGCAGCCCCGGAGCAAGAGTTGGCGCCCCCTCAGCTGGCGGCTGACAGGAGTATCGAGAGAAAATCGCCTCAGTTTTTCCCCTGAGGGTCCACCATCTTCTGGAGAAAAAAAAAAGTACAAAACAACTAAGACACGCAAATAATGCCAACCGTACATAATTACAGCAATGCCATTTAGTTTTGGGATTGACATTGTTATTGGTAATGGTACTTTAATTTGTCAAAAAAAAATCATTTTTGCCTTCTTTGGAGGGCTGTCGTCAGGGCAGTGCAGTGTGGACTGTAACAGTCCTCTCTCTAGCTGCCATAGAGTCAGCAGAGTGTCTGTTTTTTGTCTGTTCTGTTCCCAGGCCATCTGCCACCTTCTTGACGATGGTGTCATAGCAAGGTCCAAGCCGACTAGGTTTATTTTCATAGAGCAAGCTTTGTCAGTTCGGAGTGGCTCTTGTAGCCAGGCCATCAAGTCAATGTTAACGTCGTTCACTGCATGGTGAGGGTAGGGGGAGTCACACTGATAGACGCATTTTTAAATGATTTTTCTTTTTACGCTATAGGAAAATAATTTAAATGACAAGACATTCTCTGTAACCCACAAATGTAACTTGATGTTTCAATTTGTTGTTCATACAGGGAAAACAAGCCAGTAAAGGCACACAAATACTGAATGAACCCTGACTGGGGTTAAGAAAAGAGGAAAGGAATCCAAAACTTAAAATATACAATTTATTTGATTTGTCTCTTCATGCCGAATGTAAATGTTGATTGTGGTAAAAGTGCTCGAGTGTATCCATGCTTCCACAGTAGAACGCCGTCTACCTCAGCTGAGGGGGTGGGGGGTTGTTGTGGCACTAGGCACCCCACCCTGCCCCCACTGAGCGCCAGCGCGCACTGATACCTCAGTCCCCCAGAACACTTCTTTCTATATGGGCGCGCCATCCTAACACCGCGCTTTAACTGAGGGGCACAAGTGATACTTAAAATTATCCCAGACACCTCCTGATTCCCTGCCTCCTTCCTGCCAAACCACCCTCCCCACCCCTTTCCCCTCCTCCGCAGTTTGTTTTGATCTACCTCTTTAGACACGTATTTGAAGTAGAGGCATTCTTCTATTTGTTAGAATTTAGCCCCTCCTCCTTTATGCCTCCCCATGCTTCCCCAGATATGAATGAAAACTAAAAATCATGTACTTAGAATTGAGAGAATAATTGAAAGTGATCAAAAATATTTTCTTTTGCCAGTGTTTATATACTTTTTTTCTTTTTTTGCTTAATTGAAATCCTCAAACCGATGGTTATTTCTTTCTGCTTTCTAATTTTGGTGGTGTGGCTTACATGTATTTGAACTTTTGCTTGGGTTTTTTGTGAAAAAGGTCAAATCACGTGTTTGATTTTGCATTCAATAGTTAAATGAGAAAATACATTTTTTTTTTTTTTTTTTTTTCAAAAAAGGGCCTGCCTTTTTGTTTCTGATTTGTAAGACTTCAAAATAGATACAAGTCCTGTCTTTTTTTTCCCCCTTGTCTTTCACAGATGCTACACTCACTTGCTGATTTGGTAGCTATTTTCTTCTGTTAGCATTTCTTGGCTGTGTAACGTGGAACATCCTCTTGGTATGAGACAGATATGAGGGACTGGGTCTCTGAGTTTTTTGGAAAAGTGATCTAACTTCAGCATGATATTCCCTCCTCCCCCTCTCTGCAACCATGCTTGTGCCCCTTCACCTCCCCTTCACACACAGCTCCACTTGTCAAATGCCTCTGAATAAAAAAAAAAATAAAAAAAAAATTAAATTGTTTGTTTTTTTTGGGGGGTTATTTGGTATCTGTGTGTTTTTGAAGGTTCTTATTGCGTGTATGTAACCAAAGGCAACCAAAGTGATATCGCGAGTTGGTCTTGACAGCTGCAAAATGCTGTTAAAATGGTAATTCTGTAGAGCCAGAACAGGACAAAACTTTAGCTACACATGCTTAAATTTTGTAGACACACTAACTTCAAAAGGCTAAGTTTGGCATGTTTTATATTCTCAGGTCTAACAAGTGAGATATCAACTGGATTAAACTTGGTGCAAAGGTAGATTGCTTTATGGTGCAGACCAGGAACACCTCTGATCTTTGCTGATAAACATTTTAGGGTTGGTAGACCCTCATCAGGTGGATGAATCTTACATGTTGAACATTCCACCATAAAGGACGACGAGTAGAAACATCCTTTTGACTGGGATGGGAAGTTGCTGATTTTGAGATGCAATGGTCGTCTGTTCTTGTTAGAACTTGCTATGAGTATCTTGAGCATTAATACTGTGGAAGTATTCTTCAGTCAATAGCTGCCCAAAAACCAATACTTCATATGAATGGAATCCAATATATGTTTTATAATGAATTTGTCTTCTGAACAGTTCCAGGAGCTGTTTGACCTCCATCTGCAGTAAGTTTAATTTCCTCTTATGCATTGCATTGTTTAAGAGCTCTCTACATCAATATTTATTTTGTCTGGTTTTCAGTGTGAACACATTACATCTTTCACCTTCAATAGCTTTAAAGTTGATTTAAAAATTATTGAAGTGATTGGTTAAAAACTGACCTGCCAGATTTACACCAAACCTTTAATTCATAAAAGAAAACAATTCATAAAAACAAGACAAATGGTTAGTTCACTACCTTTATTAGAGTCCTAATTTCAAGTTTCCAGTGAATTCCTTGGATTAGTTTTTAGGTCTAACAGTTTAAAAAATTACTTTTAATTCACTCAACTGCCGAAGAGCATGCACATGTCACAGGTAGTATAAACTTTATATTGGAGGACCATCTCAAGGATTTGATTATTATTACAGTATATGGCAAAGTATTTAAAAGCAGTACTTGGCACAAAATTTGCACAAAAGCATTTTTCATCAAGAAACACATGACTTGAACCCAGTTCATCTCTGAGCAACTACTTCATCTAATGATGAACCAGAACAAGATCAAAAGGAGCAGTGCCTCAAACATTTAACAGCCTCTTTAGTAAATCATCTTACCAATCATATACTGCTGTAGCATTAGCCATTTGCTGTAGCCAACACTCTTTTAACAACTAAATTAAGACACAAACAAGACAGTATTATTTACTAATATTTCTCTACAGACATGAATGTATTTCTGCTATCTGGACTTCTTAATTATATGACTTATGCTTAGATTTGCGCATGTCAATCGTGATTTTCCTTCAGACTTCTTGACATGAAGGGCAGAAGTAATTGGGTGTAGCCCTATAAAGCCTACAGGGGGCGTCTCTCAGTCAGCAGGTGATGGCTCTCCTCACTGGAGGGGAAGAGTGCCTCCCTCAGACGCACCATGCGACCGCCGACCCCAGCATGGCCACAGGCATCCTCCACCAGTGACCTACGAATGGGACGATACACCTTGTAACGCCTGGGAGAGAGGGAAAAGTCAGCTAAGGGCTTTTTGACGACTGGTCATATGTTCATGTCCCCATAAGACAGTATGTACTGTACAAGTTTATGATGACTTACCTGCAGACCAGATAGGCAATGAATGCAAAGACAGCCACCAGCACAGCAGTAGAAGAGAGCACCACCTCAGCAGCGTGAGAAGTCTTGGACGCTACATGGCCAGACACAAGCACAAAGACAGAGAACATCAATCTGTCCACTTTTTATCAAGCTGAAGCTAAAGAGAATGGACTTTGAATTATGAGTGAACATGTGTAGGATATGAGAATAGATATCTTTGTTTGACTGACCAGGTTTATCCTGGGACTTGTTGATGGTGACCGTGGTGCTGGTTAGGGCCAGGCTGCTGGAGTCCTCCAGGGTGATGTTGACACAGTAGGTGCCAGGCTCCAAAAAGGTTCGCCTGAGATGCACTTCACACTCTGACGATGGCGGCACATCATCGCACATAATGTTACTCACCTGAGTACAGCTGGGGTCGGACACAATGGTGCAGGCTGAAGTGGGAACACTGAGGATGAGGGACGGAAAGATGAAGGGTTGAATAAAATGACTAAACCTTTCCTTTATCTGAAACTTTTTTTTCCTTGAGAAATAATTTGAATGGAAGGTTTGCCTTCTCTTTCAACTATTTTACACTCTTCACAAATAGACCACAGCTTTACAAATAAGCCACTAGAGATGCAAGACATTTGGTTCTCAGGCCAAAATGCCAATGACAACACAGTAATACCATTACAGTACTTTGAATTATGTTTTGACTGGATTAGATTATCTAATAATTATCTAATTTCCTAGTTTACTTATGATTATGAAACTTAGACTGTGATTTGGTATCACTGTTATGCCAAAGATTTAAAAATGTATACATTTTATTTCCAATTTTAGTAAAAGGCATCATTTTCTGCATTGTACTGATTTATTTCTGAGCTTGAAAGCTAAATGAAGGTGTGTTCAAACATATTCTACATGCTGTTAGTGAGAGTAAAAGCTGTCTTCTGGAGATACAATTTTGGATTTCACACGCAGCAGTCAAGAAAAGCATTAAACGTTTTAACATTAATTTAAAATGTATAATAAAATAATACCCACTTGCCCAGACACTTCACCAGGAAGCTGATGTCAGTGTTGGTCACTCTGGAGGCCGACACGTCCACAATGCGACTGTTTGGCTGACTGTTCAGTGCGTGCTTGGGCTCTGCGGAGAACAGATTAATTCAGTTGGTTTTAGAATCATCTTCTCGTAACATTAAAATGATGAAGCTCAAAGGTTTTTACAGGAGGGTGGTGTGAGTGTGTGTGTCTGTGGGTGTGCACCACAATGGCAGGTTTAAAGGGGGAAAAAACAGAACCAAAACAGTAAGGATTAAAAATTTTGATATAACATTATAATCCTTCCATCACAAAAAAAATTTGAATATGTAATTGGATTTGTTTCTTTATTTAACACAAATGACCAGTTTCATATGACACAGACTGCTGAGTGTGTGACTGGAGCTCTGTTCTGTCCAGTCTGTAACAGCTGGACAACAGTGTCTCTTATCTACTCTATGCTGTCCACTTAAATTATAACTATGTCATCAGACTATAAGTGAAAAGGAAACTGCAGCCTCACACTTACCAATAATGGTGATGTTGCCCATGAAGGTCCCATGGGTGTAGCGGAAGCACTGGTTGTTGTTGAGACGCCTGGTTCGGAGCAAGGCCAGGGTGGTGGGGTTGGCCTCTGGGGTCGCACTGGCATGAATAGGGGGAAGGGGCTCCGTGGTGGGCGCACCTGATGTCATGGCAATGGGTGAGGAGGTAGAGGACGGGAGGGGCAGGCGGGTGCTGGGTGGCCCTGAAACAGGAAACAAGTGTCAAGATATGGACTCAGTGGATGAGAAAGTGTGTATGTAACATGCACTGCCTCTCTGTCTCCCTTAAACAAACATAATTAAACACAACTCACCCTGCGTGGTCTCCATCTTGACAGTACCAGCATGAGTACCGGGTGGAAGTGTGGGAGCCTCTGGAGGGAGAGACACAGGAATACAGTTATGACACATCTAGTTTTATGAGGTAACACTTGAATGATCTGTGCAGGGAACGTCTAGCTTTGTCTTTTCCATCAAGGTCAGATTGCAGGGCCAGTTGTGTAACAGCAGTAATCCAGAGCCCAAGGTTAGCAGGCTTAATGCTTTCCCTGGTCAGTTCATCCAAATAACAAAGAAAAACACATTTTCTGACTTACTTCTGGTGGGAGGTATCCTGCAGACATTAAGGCATTACATTTAAAAATTCAAAAGCAGCTTGAATTGTCAGAGGCAATGTTGCAGTTTATAGAAAGTAGTTGATTGGATACTTTTGAATAAAAAATAGCCCCTGATATACTAGATTAGATTGCAGTATATGAAAAACCTTTTTTTTAATAATTTGGATGGAGTGACCCTTTACTCAGGTATCACACAGGGTTCCCTCCACCGTCTCCAGCTGGCACAGAACACTGCTGCTCGACTTGTTACTGGGACATAAACATATCACCTCAATGCTGGCCTTCCTACATTGGCTCCCTGTCATGTTTCAAATTGATTTTAAAATTGTATTACTAACTTTTAAAGCTTTAAACGGACTTGCTCCCACACCCTGCTGGTTAGTCCCGGGTCATGCTGCGTGACAAAAGGCGATCTGCCATTAGAGCCCCCCCACTCTTGAACTGACTGCCTAGTGAACACACACTGCATCTCTTGGTTCTTGTAAATCTCTTCTTAAAACGTTTCTCTTTGTGAAAGGTTTTGGGAATATCTGATATATTTTTATTTGTAATGTTTTTATTCCTATTTATTTGTTCTTATTCATTCCATTGTTTTATTACTTTGGTGCTCATGTTCCTTACTGTCATTTTATCTGCCTTGTTTGCTTTTTTTACCTTGTACAGAACTTTGTAAAATTGTTAAGAAAATAATAATAGTTAATAGTAAAGGTTTGTTATTATTATTATTATTGTTATTATAAGGACAGCACGACACGACCATCCTGATACACGACCATCCTGATATTAAACTATAATGTCTACTTTCTTACAGAAAACCTGTATTACAAACTTGGGGCAGTTTTAAAGACATAACAAATAGCGCTATCGAGTTTCATTAAAGGAATTGTAAGATCCAGATCTCAGCTGAATACTACATCCCTGGAGTACTCCTTTAAGGTCTCTAAATTTGAACCTCAGTTAAAGGGTCTCAGACTGCACCACTTAGCACCAGAATGTCTATAATTGCTTAAAAACCCTGCATATAGCAGCTTAAAGGAAAATACCTCACAACATGTTTTCAACTTGCCCACTGGAGCCATATCTGACCTGTGGGAGGACGTGACGTGGAGCTCTTCTGAGTCGGGGTGGCAGCAGTGGGTGGACACTCTATAGGGAACGCTGCCTCCACCACCAGCTTCACACTCATGGTCCCCAGCCTGCTGTAGGTGTGCGTGGTCACTTCGCGGTGTGTAACCAGCTGGTTGCCATCTCTGAAGTCCCAGATGTAGTCGATGGCGGCGGCGGTTTTGAGGTAGCCGCTGGGGTCATGGAGCTGGACTTTGAAGACCACGTCCTCACCACTAAAGAACACATTCTGAGACTGGTTGACCGCAGCCTTCTGGGAGATGTTGACTGCCACTGGGATCTTATCTAAGAGAGAGTGTGTAGGGGAGACATAAATAATTAATTCTCTAGGTTTTTCCTTGTGTTTTGTATCTGTCTGTTTGGCTGAAACATGCTGACAGAAAAAGTTGTACAAGGTGAATATTTGAGTTTGTCTCCACCTGTGACACAGAAGACGGTGTTGTCAGTGGTGAGGGGGCTGTACTTCCTGCGCTCACGTTTCCTGTAGACCATGACCTCCATGACCTCTGCACCCAGAGGAATGTTGGTGGTGTTGATGGTCACACTGGAGGAGGAACCGTCACATGTCTCGTAGTACTGGCCTGGAACAAACAGAGAAGACGAACAGAGAGACGTTGCTTATTTTGTTTTTGCGTGTGCATGCGTGCAAACCCGTAAACCTATGTGTACTCACCCATCACATGCCACACGTAGACATAGCTCTTGCGTTTCCAGTCATTGCTCTGAGGGAAGGGCTTTCCATCAGGGAACACGTTGCATTTCTTCAGGTCTGTACACTTTCCAAAGCCATAGTCATCCAACCAGGAAGTCCAGTTGTACACATAGCCTGATCGGAGCTGTCCATTGGCTGCTGAGAAGAGAAGAGAGTTAAGCAAAAGTTTGTGTTATTTCAAAAAAAAACAACAACAACATTTTATATAGACAATAGGTCAAACAACTGCTTGGAATGTGCAGTTCGCTGAAGCTCTATGGACCATTTTAGCCTCTTTCAGCTAATTGTTTGGTTGTTTTGATTCATCTTTCTAGCAGCTGCAGGCAGTTTAAAGCAAATGATCTTTGATCTGTATGGCTGTACTGTCACCATACCAACTCTATAAGGTGTTTACAGTTTGTTACACTGCCCCCAAGTGGCCACAAAAATGAATTACTACTTTAATCCAACCATTTATAATTATCATGGTCCTATGAGAGAGTCTGTCTAATACAGTGCGGTGGAGTTTTGTGGTGCATGATGGTGTAATGTGTTTGAGGGCGTGGCCTGGCCGGGCTTTTTGACAGCACCTGAGGCCTCCAGCTCCGTACCGTCCTCGCAGTGCTCATCCCATACAAGGTCCCCATTGGCATCCTCCTTCTGGCATGGAGGGTACTCCAGCTTCGCAGTGAAGGAGATGCAAGAGCCATTTAGAGCGGGACTGTCGCTGGTCAGACGAACCTTGGGTTTACCTGCAGAAATGTGGATGTTCCAGGTGAAAAACTCCAAACATAGAAGGAAGAATTCAGAGAAAAAAAAAAAACTTTACTCACCTCTGTGGTGCATGAGCTCTTTTGGCTTTGGGTTTAGTGGAGGGTAGAGGTAATCATCCCATGGATTGGTGTCAGGATCCCAGCCAGGAATTGGTGGAATTGGAAATGGAAACTTTCCTACTGCATGCTTGTGGGGGAACATGTCACCCAATGCTGGAGAAAGAGAGAGAGAGAGAGAGCAAAACACATTTGAAGTCCCTTAAAAAGTGAAGGAAAACTGATGAAAACAATGAAAACGTTTTTGTTTTATTAGTAAATCATACACATGTATCCTTCCCTTTCTTTTGGAACAAGTTACAGAAAATCTCTTAATTACTCCAATTCAAGGTCATTTTCACCTTCACTGAAATTCAATGTTGAGGTTTAAGTCCTTGGTTTAATAATTCTCATTTTGTAATTAAACTTTCTATGTATCATGACATGAAAATGTTCTGTGGTATCACTTGACATGTAGTGTAAAAAAAAAAACACCCATCTGAAAAGAAATATATTTGAATTCCTTAAATAGAGAAATTTAAAATGCTGTGGAAATCCTTCTAAGGATCTTATTCATGAATAATAATAATGAGATCAGGTTTTCTCCAGAAGTTAGAAGTGTTCTCCCTCTGACTGAATCGCTGGGAAACGTGTGGAGAATTTTGGAATCAAAAGCAGATCTGTTCTGTGGAGGGAGGTGATAATAATTTTTGATAGGCAGTATCTGGTCCTATTTTTACACATGCATAATTATCTTGAGGGAATTTATCTGAGAATATATCAAATGTCTTTTAATTGTTAATTATATTGACTTTCTTTCTGACTTCTGTCTTAATTTGGACTTTAGCGACTCACATATTTCATGGTCAAACATGGATGCCAAACGAAAACAACACATTCCTTCAATGTGATTTGATTAAAGGATCCAGATATCTGTCTTTGTGTAAGCAGACAGCTGTGCAGATAATCAACTCATGACAAACATAGATATTTTAAAATAAATACCGGAACGTAGTTTTAGTTGTTTTTGTTGTTTTCATACTGATAACTTGTAATAAAATCTAAAGAAAAATATGTTTTTGAATTGTTTGAGGCTTTGGACTTCTCTGTGACCCCCAGCTGGACATAAATGGACTTAAATAAATTGTTTTTTTTAAGTTTGAACGTTAAGATTTATTCTACTTTTGTGGCTGTAAAATCTTTTCCTTTGTGTCGATAAGTTTCAATCTGAGCAGAGACCTTCAGCCAAGGCACACGCCTTAATTAAGCTCATGGGACTATGAGTGCAGACAGCTGATGGCAGGACAGGTAGCATATTACAGAAACTGTAAGACAAATACCGAATATCAGAAGTCTATTTCAGACTTTAAACTAGTGCGCCACAACCGTTTTTAATTCAAGACCCATATGATTAAATCATTCCTGTGATTTCGATGTGAATATTTAAATTTAAGTCGGACATTTACTCTGTAGTTAATATTTCTACATCAGATCTGGTCAGTTTAAAATACTGTATCATTCATTTGATTCAGATCAGCGGATTGTCCAACTTTAAAGCAGCACCACTTACTTTTGCGTCCATCAGCTTGATAAACAAACCAGGCACAAACCAGGAGGAAAACGTATGGCAAGGCTTCCATTTCCACTATTGAGCAGTAAAAAAAATAAAAATACTGGTCAATATATGTTCAAACAAAATAGCCAATCCACCTCCCCAAAACAGTTTGTTTCTTCACCGACAGAGCTTGTCCCTCTCTCTGCTCGTCCAGTACTTCCCCCTGCTTGTCCTGGTGTTCAATAATTTAATCTGGGGGCCGCTGGGCGCACAAACATGTGATGTTTCCTAACAAGACGCATCTCATCCCTCATTAGTCTTCTGGACGCAGGAAACTCATGAGAGACGAGGTGCGCACGCCCTTTCCCCTCTGCCCTGATCAGAAATTTATAAGGCTTTTAATTCGAAGGAGTTATTGCGATGTGTACTGCATAACATAAACGGTATGATCACCTCTTGTGTTTACCTGTTTATATGTTTACTGAGTGATTAATGGTGTGCTTATTTTGACAATGTGATTGTAAATAATGTCTTTTATAAACAGTACTTGGTAGGGCAGTACGTCGACGACACATTTTCTCACTCATCTTTGTCCTCAACTTGCAGAAACTTACCGGACTAAAAACAATTTCATTTTTCATTTAAATCTGCAAATAAAAACAATTTTACACGAAACGCATGTGATTTGGATCAATATCTTATCCTGGATAGAGACAGATGTTTAATAAAAGGGGTCGGCAGCGTGCCAAAATGATATATCAATATATTTTGATTATGAGCTGTGTTTTTTTCGTTGACTGCTTAATAACCTTCAATGCCCACGTGTGAGAGCTGAGCACATGACTGCATTATCGGACACCTTTGTCTCATCCAGCTGTGTCATGGTGAGATGTGAGGTCCGAGCAGGTTGCGCCACCGCTGCGCCCGCAAAAGCAGAAGAAAAGCGTGTGATGTGAGTCAGAGTCGTTGTTCGTTTTTCAACACAGTCCATGTGACAGACATCAGGGTTTTACTAGTGGCTCTTCTGCTGCTGTCACAAGGAGGGTTTGGAAAGTGCAGCAAAGGGCGCCCAGTACAAATTGTCATCTTTCCCAAAGTTAAATTCCTTCTCAGAAGTCGGAAATCTTGTGTGAGCTTAAATTTCTGAAAACCATATCAGGATATTTAATTTACAATTAATTAATTTAAGTTGACATTTCACTAAATGCCGAGGCTAACATAGATGCAAGCAATTATCTAGTTATTGATTTAAGATATTAAACACAAACTTTCAGATAGGAAACAACTTAATATGATACAGTAACCCATAGAATCAATTCTAATGCAGAATAAAGAATAATAAAGAAGTGAAAATCCTCCATATTCATATTCACAGAGAAACAGCTATAAATTCTAATCGGCCCAACTGTTGGCAAATCTAACTCTTAAAAGCTAAGTCACAATCACATTGCAGTTATCAAACATCGATCAAGGCTTTATTGTTGACATTTCAGTGACATTTGGGTTTTATTACAGGGCTGAAAAAGTCAGTCAGACTGGAACAAAACGCACAAGTTACTACATTGTTTTTTATATGTGACCCAGTGTTATCAGTAGAATTGTAATAACTGGGAAACTTTGACGTGAAATATCAAATCTTGAGCTTGAAGCATCTTCTTCCAGTTCATTCATTCCATCTCCATGACAACTGGGCCACAAATACAGCCACCGAGGAAGTCCACGAGATGTGGCCGAAAGCTCCAGAGGCAGTCTTGAAGTAATTTTTTTGTTTGGTTGTTTGTTTGAAAAGTGCATGATGTTTAGAATAAGCGTCAGTGAACGTCAATGCTGCCCATCCTCCAGTAGAGGGCAGCACCACTCCGCAGCTTCTCATGTTCTGAACCTGGATAAGTTCTTGGGGCCCTTCCGACATATAAACACATAGATACATATACTCTCTCTCTCTCTCTCTCTCTCTCTCTCTCTCTCAGCTTTAATGATGATGTTACATTGTTGACAAAGCTCAATTACATATTATAGAATAATACTTTTTCAAGGTAACAAAATAAAACTGATAAACCATAACAAGATCATCAGATAGGCCTACTTTAATTAGTACAACTTTAAAACACATATATGACTGCAACTTACTTTAATTTTCATTATTGATAACCTGCTGATTTTTTCCTCAATTAATTCCATCGATTTTCTTCTTCTGGTCTATAATATTTCAGAAGTAGTGCAAATCATAAGATCATACAAAACCTGTAAATATTCACTGGAACCAGTTGTTAATTATTGGCATTTTTACGTAACAAAAAAGAATTGAACAATGAATCAACTGTCAGAACATTTTCTGTCAGTTGACTTCTTGATTAATCAGCTAAAAGTTTCATCTTTTTTTCTTTCAGCCTAGAAAAAAAGACTCCAGACATCCTTGGTTGAAAAACAGAAAAATGAATGAACAACAAGTCAGAAATGTCTGCATGAAGCCAAAAGTCACTATTCCTCTCTCTCTCACCTTCTCCCATACTATCCTAAACACATCGATCACTGCTAAAATAAAGATGAAACAATCTGCAACTCAAACAATCAACTAACCTCTCGATTCCCATCTTGCTACTCACAACACCAACTACAGAAAGGACACTCCTTTTAGCTCCCTACTGTCATGTTAACTCTGTGTGTCAGGGGAGGACGCATGTGAGTACTTGTCGTGCCTTCTCATTTACAACTCTGGCTTCTAGTTGGATGGTGGAATGCAGGAACATTCCCGAGAATGTGGACTGGGCTCTGGACCTGGACCTTTAG